AGAGAAGCGAAATGATAGGCAGAATTAAAGAATATATAAATGTTAATGTAAAGGGAAGGCAGGAAAGTTGGAAGGAAAATCCGTCTACATTACCTCTCTGTTCCGAAATTTTTGTTACTTACATCAATAGACTTGCTGAGATTGATATTTGGAGCTCCAGCGTCCGATGTGTATCGGTGACCCAGAATGACCCAGCATATCGTAATAAACCTGATACCGTGAACAGCTTGAAGAGTGTCCCCAGAAGATTTCGTACTCAGCAACTTCTTGCCATTGCTATATACAGAGAATGCCAGCAGCAGTTCCTTCTTCTGTCCTGCAATTAAATCAGCCCTGATTATTCTAGCATTTCTGTGACACTGTTTCACTCTATCAGTATTATGCTGGACATTTCCTAAAGCATATTTAATTTACACGAGATTCCGAGAGAGAGCTCTACAACCTACAGAAAACACACCAGATATTGATGGATTTACAAGTTTTCAGATACACTTAATACAAAATAATTGGTTCCTTGCTTGGATGTCTTCCGTCTGTATGTATGTGCGCCTTACTGCCACCTGAAAGGTTGGGCGCATTCTGTTCATTATAGACATCTGTTATATTCCTGTCAACACAACACCATTTCCAAAAGGTGCAGTTCGCTATTTAGGGAGACATGTTTCGGCACATTTGTGCCATCGTATGGTCCGGTTTCTAGTTAAAATTATTCTGTCGTGTACTTAGCTCATGTTTTTCACTTAAACTGAGTGGATCCATTGGTGTGTGTGTGTGTAATATACACGTATATAGTATACTGTACACTGTATTATAATTGGTTGCTTTTAGCCTACTTTCCCTTTTTAAAAAATATTGAGGTTAATGCTGTCTCCATTCCGTCTGTTTTTCTGTGAATCACCTCTATTAAAATGGAATGCTAGAACCAATCTGTGTGGAACTTGGTATGTATGTCGTGGCATCTGAGCCCATCTCAACGGCGCCCTTCATAAATCCCTCCCATTATTCTCCGTGTCTCTATGTGTATTTCTTCTATTGTTGCTGGGCAACGGATCGGTAATTCCCGAGGCAACAAATACACGCAACAATAGAATGATTGTTGGATACGTATGTCTGAGGGTCTCTCTGTATGTCCCCCCTAAGGTTGCTAGGTGCCAACTCCGTGAAATCGTTTCAGCGGCAAAAAAGTATTGTTATAGGCGTTGTTTCCTATGAGGTCCGTGTAGTATCAAAGGAAAGTAGGCGAATGTTTTATGTGAATCTGAATCACTGAACACACTCGGTGTGGCCACTTCGCGTGTGTTCATACAAAGTTTCGGTAGGGAGAGCAGAAGGGAAGGGAACACTAGGAAGATCTAAAAGTAGGTGGGATGATAATACGAAAATAATTCTTAGAGGTGTATAGTAGAGCTCAGTATAGGGACCAGTGGCAGGAAGTTATGAACACGGTTATGAACTCTCAGATTCTGTTAAAACGCTGGTTATTTCTCAGGCAACTTTTACCTTCTAAGAAGGACTAAGCTTCAAGGAGTTAGTTTCAGTCATACATACATATGATTCCACATAACGAAGAGTAAACAATAGTAATAAAATTACTTAAGTTTCGTTAATTAAATAAAATAATTATGGAGTAAACTGAAATCTTAACAAAGTACCTCACCTTTGCCTATGAGGTCATACGCAGTGTTTGAGACGATCAGCAGTAAAAAGGCAGCAAGAATACCGCTGCAACAGAAGGTAAACCCGTGTAACTTAAGAGAGTAATTCGTATGCGGTCTACAGGCAATAATAGGACAAACTTGATTGAACTGTTAATGCTCTGCGTGCATTTCATAACTCATTAATACACAAGGAAGAGACAGTAAATAAGTCACAAATGAAAGTAAAACAGTTATAATGATCGTAATTGGTTTTCTACGTGTATCACAAAGTAGCGGCACTGTCCAGCTTCATGACACCATAAGTAGCAGACGTTCATGCGCATGTTCAAAGGCAGGTTTCTGTAGTCAAAATGGTGACCGTCTCTAAGTTGAAGCGGAGCTGCATAAGTGGGTGACACAACAGTCATAGGACTTTCATTCTGCGCGTTTCGACGCACTGGTAAATAGATGGAACAAGTGTATCGGTTTAGGGGGGAGGATGTATCGTATATAAACGTTTCTCTCCCAGTTGCGAATACATTTATTTTTTTACTTTCTATATTAATTTGTGTCTTATTTACTGACTCTTCCTCGTATTGCAGACCTTCGCCACAAATCATATTTGAGTTAAATATTAACGAAATGAATCAGCGGAAACTTACACAGTTATCCAGTCCTCCGTAGCGAGCGATTTTCCCTCATTAGTTTGGCAGTACCCCTCAGCTACTGATGTCACTAGTGGGAGATTCATATCTTGTAGGTATGAATTGAAGATCCCTTCAAAATCCTTCGCGCTGCATGTTGATGGAATACAGTAGGACAGCGTGAGGCCCAAGTCAGATAAATCAAACGAGACCTGTAAGTTGAGAATTTCTAAGTCAATGGGGCCGAATCCATCTTGAGAAGCCACCAGTCGCTCAGCTACTCAAGAATTTCACAACTTTTTTGCATGAATATTCATTACCTGTCAACAAAAGCCTCCCACTAAACTCCATCGTAAGCCAGATAAATCCATTACATACCACCATATCCAATTTAATGCCCTTTTTAATATTATCTTCTCATCTACATCCAGGTCTGCTACTGGTCTCTTTCTTTATTGCTTTACCACCAAAAATCTGTATACACCCGTTTCCGCTATCAAGCGTTCTATTTTAACTTTGCCGCATTCTCAAAAGATCTGTGAGATATCCTTAAGTTAGTAGTCTGCCCCGCATTGTGGTGACAAGACATCAACATAAATATTATTTAATATTACATTTACGTATCCTGTTGCATCGACAGATCACATAATATTTATAGGTTTCCAGCAAAACTTTCGGAAATTTCAGAAAATTTTATTGTCAAGTCTGAGATTAAACATTAAGAATCAAGCCTTACTACGTAACCGAATTCCTAATAATTGTTCGGTTTTGATATAGGTCTACTTCATTAAATCTTCCTGATATATAATAACGAGATTTAATGAAGTTCTTAAATTATAATCAAGTAAAAAGATATTTATTAATGCTTAATTTAATTTTAATGACAGAAAAATAAAGTTTGTGACGAATCTACCATGGCCCAATGCATTTTCAGAAAATATCTCGGAATATCCTTGGAGATAACGAGGTGAATCTCAGTCAAATATCCAGTTTGCGGGTTGAAAGCATCTTGCTTTGCCTCATTCACTTATAGGTAATAAGTGAATCGGTCAAGAGAATTTTTTAATTTTGTTTTCTGCTGTTGGTTATATAGAAACAAAGTAATATATATTATTTGTCACAGATTGCTGATCATTTTATTGATTTGTAATAATTTCTGTAATAATATCATGAAACAGATAGCACACCTTTCTACGGGATGTCTTATTTTCATAAATAGTCAAATAATTATCGAACAATATGCAATGCACATTGTGCACATTGCACCCAATGCACATGCATATATATATATACTCGTAGAATAAAATTTAATTCAAAAGTAATTATACATGGTTTAATCATCATCGAACTGTTCATGCTTTTCTTTCTGATGAATATGACAAATATAGAGTGCTACAACAGGCAAACAACTGCTTTTGGTAACGTAAGTACGTAAACGATCTTGTTTAATGTTGAATTTATTCTGATAGGTCACTCACAGTTCTGTCGTTGCCTCTCACATTAGGAGCTCTTATTCTGAGGCTTTCCACATGTGGCAAGTTTTGCGGGCTGAGTGTCGGTACTGAGTCTTGCTTCTGCCGAAATTCGGCGAGACAATGCTGGCCACTGAACACCCCGACGCCAGTGTCCACGTGCTCCACTTCGATGCACTCGTCGAAATTCCCGAGGAACACCGACTGCCCCATCAGCACACTCTCCGGAAACTTCGTCGAGGAGTCAAACACTGCAAGCAGAACAAGAATTCACAATACACACCTTACTTCACGGGGCTTTAGTGACTGGCTATGGACTGGACGGCCACCAAGCCGTCGGAGTTTGAGTCCCGATAGGAGCAAGATATATCTTATCTACACGTCATAGCGACTGGTACTGGAGCCCACCCGGCATTCTATCCAATAGATACCATGGACTGTTTCTAAGGTGATAAAGCGCCGGGGCGAGAAGCTGACCACTCACCTCCAAATTATGCAAAGATCAAGAATACGTGGACTTATATACCTACATCCCCATATGTCTTCATGCCGTACTACTTCCGTATTTAGGAAAGCAGAGGGAATATTTTGACCGAAGAGAGAGGAACTGACAGGAGGTTGGAGATAACTCCATATTGAGGAGCTTCATAACCCGTATCCTCCTCCAAGTATAATTAAAATGATAAAATAAGGAGGCAGGCAATGTAGCAAGAATGGGAGAGAACAGGAATATTTATAAAATATTAGTGAGAGGACCAGAAGGAAAAATGTCAAAAGGAAGAACAAGACGTCGGTGAATGGATAATATTAAGATAAATTTCAGAGAGATAGATTAGGGTGGTATAGACTCGATTGTTGTGGTCCAGGATAGTGAGGAGTGGAGGGTTCTTGTGAACACGGTAATGAATTTTTGGGTTCCATAAAATGTTAAGATGTTTTTGAGTAGCTGTACAACTGGCAGCTTCTTAAGAATGGCTTAGCTCCCTGGAGTTATTTAGTTTTATTGAATCTGACGCATTTAATTTGGTAGAAAATACAGAAGTACTGCAGGAAACTGGTGCCTCTTTCTTCAACGTTAAACCGTGAAGAAAGACGCAGCATGTGCCTTTGAAAAGTAACATAACAATCTACCAGACATCACATCTAGGAGAATATAAATTTCATTTTCTGCTATGAGTTTGAATTTCGTTTGGAAATTTATATTACATTTAGGAATTTACAAAAACACGTGTTATTTTTCTTGACAGACTTCACGGCGTATATATGTGGCAGTATATTCATATACTAACAATAAATATACTTACTCAGCATCGCCCAGTAGCTGGTACTGATCTGGTCCACGTAGACCTGAAAATGTTGTGCGCAGATTGTACTGTTGGTAGTTGCAAACACAGAAGATCTGGTTTCTTGAAAGTTCTTAATATTTAAATAAGGTAAGACATCTTTCCATTTATGGTCGTGTTCTAACTCGGCACTGTTGTAAGTTCCCAAAACAGATATAAATATTAATACATTAGGTAATAACATTCGCAGCATTGTTGTAGCCCAGGTTGTCTCTGTGAAGTAAAAAACACATCTGAACAAACTTCACGATTTAAATGATATTTTCTCTTATTTTTAGCAAGATCTTATCGGAATATTCTTCAGCATCGAGCTAAATGCTCGTCACATTTCTAATTAAGCCATGGATGAGTCTAAGATTTGAAGATAAAAAGGAAAGTAGTTTGTAAGAATGTTCACGTGTTAAGCTCAGTCCAGTTTATACGTATAATGTTATCTTATCAGTTTCTGCAGATGAATCAGAAAACTTCTGCATAAGGAATTCACTTATTTGTTCATCCACTATTCATTGGCAACTTAGCTCTTTGTCGGGCCCGGGCCTCTTTTTTGGATCTCTGATTTTTCTTACACAGGCGGTAGGACTCCATGGACAAGTGATAAGCACAGCGCAAGGGCGCTACCTACACACAGGACAACACAAACACACAATAAACGTACATGTAGACATTCATGCCTTGAGTGGGATTCGAAACCATGATTCTAGCGTTCCTGCGAGTGACAACAATTTATCTGTTAGACCGCGCTGTCACTGTGATCGGCCTTTGTCTGATCTATAGCTCATATAATCGCTAAGTAAACTGGATATGATGTTATCAAAATGGTTGTATTAGTTTCTGTATTAAAAAGTGAGTATTCAAATGTCTCCACGAAAGGCACGTGCTCAAGTTGCAGATGACCTCCAGACATGGAAGGTATCTGTGGATTTACTGAATAAGCAGTAGAGGGAAGCTGACAGGGGATGATCGCCGATTTGGGGTTGGTCATGGAATTTACAATTAGCCATAAAGGAAAAAATACTTGTTACGAAATGTTGCAAAAGACCTCAGACCCGGGACGTTCCCTTGGATAATTTGAAAATATCTAAGCGAAAGAAAATAAACATGGGATATGTCATACTCCCAAATACATGACAAATGAAGGACAGTTTCTAATAGGAACTAGAATATGTATTCGATAAATTCCCTAAATACAATATGAAAATTATGTTAAGATATTTCAATGCCAAAGTAGGTAGGTAAGAGACAAAAACTGGAAATGAGAATTTTCACGAAATTAGTAATTATCATGGACTTAGAGTAGTAAACTTTTGCTGCAACGAAAATTCTAATTGTCAAAAAATACAAGGTTTCGAAATCTCAGCTTTCATAAATTCACTTGGAAATTCATCTCCTTATGGAAAACACGCAAAATGATCGACCATATTTTTAAATAAAGGAGACGTTATTCATGTTTACCTAATGTTTACCTTTCAGTGGAGAGGACTGTGGCACCAGTCACAATCCGGTTATTGCCAATGTTAGAGACAGGCTGGCAGAAAACAAACCCAGAAATGCACAAATGTGAAGTGGAGTGATTCAACCTCAAGAAATTAAATGAAGAATGTGGTGGAAAATATTGTCATGTAAAGACGTCGAGCAGGTTTGCAGCTTTATAAAACTTAGAAGATGGTGTGGATATTAATAGAGCCTGGGAAGCTATTAGAGTGAGTATCAAAATTTTCAGTGAAAGAGGTTCAAGTTTATCAAGAACTTGAGTAGCATTAGCCATTGTTCAATGAGTTGTGTTCAGTAATTTTATACCAAAGGAAACAGGACGAATTGTATTGGAGCCTAATGAAATGGGGATAATCTGAACATTATAAAGCACAAAGCCAGCAGGCATCTGGAAAGAAGAGGAAATGTCTGAAAGATAAAAATGAGCTTGCAACAGTCAGTAAGCGCAAGAACATTAGAGGCCTGTATAGAGGAATAATCAAATTTAAGAGGGGTTGCCAACCTGGAAGTAACTGCCTGAAGATTCCCACAACTTTTTGAATACGTAGAAGAATTTCTTCTTCCACTTACTGAATATATATAGGATCAGTGATATTAGGCAGATAGAAATACATACTGCTGAGCCATTAGTACCTGATCCTAGTCCTTTTGAGGTTGAAATAGTTACTGTGAAGTTGAAAAGAGAAGACCAAGGCATAGGTGAGTGAACAATATTACAATGGATCTTAGAGAGATAGGTTTTGATAGTATGGATTGCATTGATCTGGCTCAGAATAGGGACCAGTGGAGGGCTCTTATGAACACGGTTATGAACTTTTGTTTTCCATAGAAGGCTGGGAAATTCTTGAGTATCTGCAAAATTGGCGGCTCCTCCAGAAAAGCTCAGCTCCATGAGTAAGTAAGTTTGTAAGTAAAGTTGAAAAAGGTAAATTACGAGATATTGTTCAAACCCTGGCATAACTAATTCAACCATGGAGTGAAATATTACTTTCTGAGATCTTAAACTCAATACTTTTATTTGGAATAAGAAAGAATTTAGTAAGTAGTTGAATGAGTCTTTTATATACAAGTTTCCAAGAATGATGATAAAACTGACTGCAGAATGAGTAATTAATGAGGCTTATCATTGCTATCAAGTTCATACACAATTTTATCCAATATCCATCACTCAAGGTTAAATCCTATACAGATGAAATTATTGTTGACCATCAGTGTCGGTTTTGATGTAACAGATCAACTACAGATCACATCTCTTGCATTTGTCAGATACTGAGAACAAAATGGGAGTACAATGAGACAGAGCATCAACTATTCGTAGATTTGAAGGAACTTTCTGAGTCACTTATGATGGAAGTGTTGTATACAATATTGCTATTGAGTCTGGGGTAACCATGAAACTAGTTGTAGGTAAGCAGATTGAAATATGTTTAAATGAAAACTTTTGTATAATAAAATTCATAGAGTTAATGTTTGGTTGGTACATTTCCTATTCAAAATGGCCTGAAACATGGAGATGTTTATCACCATTGTTTACAATTTTTCTTCAGGATATGTCATTATGAAAGTCCAAAGAAACAAGGTAAAACTGAAACTAATTGGGATATATGAGCTCCGATCTATCCTGATGGTGTAAATGTATTGAGACATAACATAAATGCAATCGAGAAAAAACACAGAAGCTCAGATTAATGCTAGTATTGAGGTAGATGAGATTGAAATTGGTTAATGCTTGCTACCATTCAGTTCAGAATATTTTGTCTTCTCACTTGTATGTAAAAAAATTTAAATGAAAATATGAAATCTTGTAATTTTGCCCATAGATTTTATGGGTGTGAAATACTCGTATGTTGAGTGAAATTATTCGAAAAACGTAGCTTGAAGGTGTCTGTGAACAGGATGTTGAGGAGAATATTTTGACCAAAGAAAGATAAAATAAAAAGAAGTTGGAGAGAACAGCACAATGAGGAGCTTCATAACTTGTACTCTTTGCAAGAATTATTAGAATGATTAAGCAACTGAAGATGAGACACAAAGAGCATATAACGCACATGAATGGAAGAGACATGTATACAGGATTTGTGTTAAAGACATAAGAAAGCCACCACTAGGAAGACCAACATGTAGATGGAAAAAGATGAAGAAAGTATTAAACTGGGTCTTACAAAAATAGGATCAGATGATATGGACCACATTGCCGCGCCATAGTTCAAGCGTATAGTCGCTGGCTTCCCACCGTGGCGACCAGGGTTCGATCCCGGGTCTGATTAAATGAGATTCATGGACGACGAAGTGGCGCTGGAGCGGGTTTTCACCGAGTAATTCGGTTTCCCCTGCCAATCTTCTTTCCATCAAATTCTTGATCATTATAATCACCTAGGGCAGGCTGCAATAGGACAATCAGTGGGCCCCGTGTTGGACTCCAACCCCCACTAAGCGAATTAAAATAAATATATGGACTACATTCGTGTGGGTCGGGATAGGGACCATTGGTGGGCTCTTGTGATCATTGTATGAACATCAAGTTAAAAAAAAAAATATTAGGAATTTATTAAGTAGCTGAGAAACTGTTAACATCTCAAGAAGGATTCGACTCCATAGAATTAGTTAATTATTGAAATAGTTTTTATAGTAGGAAGTATCTCCTACATCTGTTCATCAAATAATCTTTATTTCGTCTGAAGTTTTTTATGTTCCCGCTCCTGGATTAAAGTTCAACAGATTTGCACATGAGGGAAGCACAAGCAACAAAGGTTGCAGTGACATCTATTAAACAAAAATATAAAGTCGTAGTTAAAATAAAGTAGGACCAAATATTACTTTTTGTCTGAATGTAAAACGTAATTAGAGTAATTATTATCCGGCTGTGACAGACGTGAATAGGGTCAGTGACGTCAAGCAAGCCATGTGAGTGTTAGTCTGCGATAGCTGTATCTGTTTGCGATCGGTATCAGATTTGTTTGAAGTGTGTTCTGTTGCTACAGAAAGACAATTGCAGTGTGGGCCGTCTCTGTCATTTCCAACGATTAGGTAAGTACATCACCCACCTAGAATTGTACAAAGATCTCTGAAGGTAACGTAACTGACACTGCTCTGAACGGTAATGAATTCGTCAAGGAATGTATTATATTAAATAGTATACAATGCTGACTTATGACACACGTGAATCATGTTAATTCACCGAAAGTTACTGTCATCTGGGATGTGACTTCGTGTTGACAGAACGATACAGTTTATTTCGGAAGAACCTGCAGACTCCATCTTCAGGGTAACCATGAAGTCATCAAAGAATGCAATGATCTACATAGCCACCACCATGTGAACCAAAAATTTCAAATAAATCAGCTTTTATTGTTTACTTGCTGAAGAAACCTTGTAATTATATGCACATGGCTCGTTTTTTCCACGTGGACTCTAGTAGAAACAAACAACTGGGAACGAGAGTTTACATGAAATTAGTAATGATAATGGAGTTAGAGTAGTAAACTTTACCACGTCCAAAATCTTATTGTCAGAAGTATAATATTCTCATATCATATCATTTATTTATTAACATAGATTTACTTGGACATCTACTGATGGAAAGATACAACCAAATCAACCATATTTTGGTAGACAGGAGACAGCACTCATGTATTTTGATGTCCAATCAGGGCAGCAAATTGTGATACTGACCACTGTCTGGAGGTGGCAAAGGTTAGGGAGAAACTACCAGTGAGTATTAGCCCAAAGGAAAGAAGCCAAATTGAAGTGGTTGCAGGATCCAGGTGAAATAAATGGGGATAATCTCAACATTATAAGACGTGAACCCAGCAGGCATTTCAGGAATATAAAGAGGGAATATTTGAAAGACAAAATTGATGAGCTTGCAATGAACAGTAAGAACAATGACATTAGAGACCTGTATAGAGGAATAAATGACTTTAAAAAGGGGTTACCTACCTGGAAGTAACTTAGTGAAGGTTGAGAATGGTGATCTGCTTGCAGATTCCCACAACATTTTGAATAGATGGAGGAACTACTTCTTTCAGTTCTTGAATGCACATAGGGTCAGTGATGTTAGGCAGATAGAAATGCATACAGCTGAGATGTTAGTACCTGATTCTAGCCTGTTGAAAGCTGAATTTGCTATTGTAAATTTGAAAAGTTGTAAATTTGCTGGCAGTGATCAAATTCTGGCAGAACTGGTTGAAGTATGAGGTGAAATATTATGTTCTAAGATATGTAAGCTAATTACTTCTATTTGGCCTAAGGAGAAAATTGCCTGATCAGTGGAAGGAGTATATTATTGTACAAGTTCACAAGAAGGGTGATAAAACGGACTGCTAATTATCAGGGGATATCACTGACATAAACTTCATACAAAATTTTACCCAAAATTTTCCTCTCAAGTTTAAGCCCATATATAGATGAAACTATTGAGGGATCATCAGTGTGGGTTATGGCAGAACAGATCAACTACAGATCAGCTCTTTTGCATTCTTCAGGTGTAGGAGAAGGAGTGGGACTACAATGGGACAGTACCTCAGCTATTCGTAGACTTCAAGAGAGCCTAATTGAATTGAATTGAATTTATTTACATTCTATAAATCCTAAGCAGGTTAGTACCTTTGGATACAGAACATGTCAAAAGGTTACGTACATAAGTACAGGCAATTTTAGCTTAAAAATTAATATAACTTTACATCATTCTCTATTTACATTGAAGTATTCATCTAAAGAGTAGAAGGATTCAGTTAGGAGGGAAGTATTGTACAACATTCTAATAGAGTTTGGGATACCCATGAAACTAATTAGGTATTATTAAAATGTGTTTAAATGAACGTGTAGTAAAATCTATATAGGTAAACATTTGTCTGATAGCCTTCCTACCCAGAATGGTCTAAAACAAGGAGATGCTTTACTGCCACTTTTTTCAACTTTGCTTTAGAATGTGTCATTAGAAAGGTCCACGAAAATGGGGTGGGACTGAAAGTAAATGGGACACATCAGCTGTTGGTTTATGCCTATGATGTGAATCTACTGGGTGATAATATAGATACCATAGAGAAAAACACACAAACTTTAATTGACGCTAGTAATGAGGTTGGTCTAGAAGTAAACACAGAGAAAACTAAGTATATGTTACTGTCTCGTCACCAAAATGCAGGGCAAAATCATGATATAAAAATAGGTAACAGATGTTTTGAAGAAGTGGCACAGTTCACATATTTGGGAACAACTGTAACAAATCGAAAGCTGATTCAAGAGGAAATTAAGAGGTGATTGAACTCGGGTAATGCTTGCTACCATTGAGTATAGAAACTTTTGTCTTCTCATCTGCCATATAAAAACATAAAAATCAGAATATACAAAACTATAATTTTGCCTGTGATTCTGTATGGCTGTGAAACTTGGTCTCTGACATTAAGGGAGGAACATAGACTGAGGGTGTTTGAGAACAGGGTGTTGAGGAGAATATTTGGACCGAAGAGAGATGAAGTGACAGGAGGTTGGAGAAAACTGCATAATAAGGAACTTCATAACTTCTACTCTTCTACAAGTATAATTAGAATGATCAAGTCAAAGAGAATGAGATGGGCAGGGCATGTAGCACGAATGGGGGAAAAAAGGAATGCATATAGTATATTGGTGGGAAAGGCAGAAGGAAAGAGATCACTAGGAAGATCAAAACCTAGGTGGATGGAAAATATTAAAATGGAACTTAGAAGAATATGATGGGCTGATATGGATTGGACTGATCGGGCTCAAAGTGGCTGCTTTTAAGGAGTCTTCTCACAAAAATTCTCTAAATTCATTTGCCCCCCCCCCAGTTTGTTTCTTGACTATCGGAGAAACCGTAAGCGTCTTAAGGCGGACTTAACTGTGGTGTCAGTGTCTGTTCTGAGCTGTCCTATTGAAAGAAATTTCCTTTAATGTGGTGCATCTGTTACAGTAATGTAAAAAATGTAGATAGGATCTAAAAGTTTGTGACAATGGTATATTGCTAAAAGTATTATGTTTTTTTTACATTATCCATCTTCTTGTCTATTTAAAAAAAACGTCCTGTTTATTTTTCAAAAAACAACGTTTCGGAGTCTGGATTCTGTCCCCGTCCTCAGGTAAAACCTACTCAGTTGGGTCCAATAGATACAGCTAGCCCCTATTTTCGGATGTAATTGGCCTTGCGGCAGTTGACTCAACGCATAAATAATACAAAATTTAATTGAATTATAATTAAACAGGAATTTGAAGGGTTATGTACCGATCTGCATCAGGATATAGTCATAATTACTTTCCCTGGAAGAACCTAAAGAGAATGTTTATTCTCTTAGTCACAATAGTTTTTATTACAGTCAAGATTCGAACTGGGTATCTCCCATACATGTCATTTTCATGTAGATCGGACCCATGTTTATTTCTACTTTTCAGCTCGAAATGATCCCAAAAGCTCACAGTTAAGCCATGGGCATTCTGTATACTGAGTATAGAGAGGAAAATTAATGTTTAATTGCAGGCAGCGGTGCACCTTCTACGTTTTTAAAAGTGAGTTGAAAATCCGGCGGCTGAACAATTTCTGTAGGAAGTGAAGAAAATTCAGAAGGGAAAAATATAGAACGTAGAAGTTGCTAAAATAATTCAATTATTGAATTTTCATTCACCAACGTAAGAATCTGAAAATTTCTCATGTCTTCTAAGATCTGAGGTTCTCACAGCGGGGACTGTGAAGATTGCAATCTTCCGGGATCTGACGCCGTGTAGCCTGCTAAGATATTTACCGATGATTCGAAAGGTAAATATGTACCAGGACACGTGGTATTACATGCCAGAAGTTCATAAAACCTCACATGCCTTGACGTATATTGTCTTACATGGGATGTTATGCCATGAAGTCTAGTTGAAATTTCGAAGGAACACACTGCTTCCGTCTTCATGGTCCTCGTCACGTATCGCATTCCGCTGCGTCTCTTCCGTGCCCCTTCTCTTCCTTCCTATTCCTTATTCTGATGTTCCATCCTATCTTCCCGCGTGTCCTTCACAACCACTTCAGTAATGTTGTGAATTCCTTCCCCTAAAGCGACTGGCTCTTCCGTCAGTTTATTTGTGTATGCCTTGTCACTTCCTTCTTGTTTCTGTGGGGACGCTTCTTCAATGATATTTTGTTTAGTCTTCCTACCTGTAAAAATAAACAGAATAAATATTTCAACCGATGTTTCGTAAAAGAGCTGTAGTAATAATTAGCCCCTGAAGGGAAGTAGCCATTTTAGAAATGAATATAAGTTCCCTGCGTTGCTAGCCCGAAATGCAAGCGTACACTTACGAAGTGTCACAAACTTAATAAGACAGTAGCTTTGTAAAGAAACGAAGTGATCCATTTCAATGTAAATCATGGCCCCTTTCGCGAATTTTAAAACATTTCCGTTTATGTTTAAATTTGAAAACGGTACCTCAAAATCTCAAATAGAGGCGAATGGAACAAGCAAGGGATCTCTGTATTCCTAAGCTGTAGGTAAAGCTATCCCTGTAACACCGTGGAGACCCATAGTGTTGTGAGACGTCGAGGCTCCCACATTTTCTAGACAGTCGGCTAACAGATGACGGTGAGTTTGTCCGCCTTACGCGCCGGAGCCCTGGTTCGTTTCTGTTAGAGGCTGAGTCGGCGCGAGGGCCATAGTGCGGCTCGAAGGATTATATCGTTTGACAATCTAATGGCCTCATTATGAAACGAACCCGCGCAATTCCGACCTGTAGAATAGGGCCTCAACCAACTACGCTACCGCGTTTCCCCACTCGATGTTCTATAAGACTCAGAATCCTTCTTACGCTAGAACTAACAATTTCCGAACAATAAGCAGACAACTGGTTTCTGTAGGTGTCCAGACATTTCTGAGGGAAGTCAAATATTTATAGTATTCCCAGGGAGGTCCTCTAGCATCATTCCAAAATTGGTCAATATATGCAAAACAGTGGAGGGCACACGATAACGTAGATGGCTGAGGCACTATGCTACAAAGCGGAAAGTCGCGGGTTCGAACACCGTGGAGACCCATAGTGTTGTGAGACGTCGAGGCTCCCACATTTTCTAGACAGTCGGCTAACAGATGACGGTGAGTTTGTCCGCCTTACGCGGCGGAGCCCTGGTTCGTTTCTGTTAGAGGCTGAGTCGGCGCGAGGGCCATAGTGCGGCTCGAAGGATTATATCGTTTGACAATCTAATGGCCTGATTATGAAACGAACCCGCACAATTCCGACTTGTAGAATAGGGCCTCAACCAACTACGCTACCGCGTTTCCCCACTCGATGTTCTATAAGACTCAGAATCCTTCTTACGCTAGAACTAACAATTTCCGAACAATAAGCAGACAACTGGTTTCTGTAGGTGTCCAGACATTTCTGAGGGAAGTCAAATATTTGTAGTATTCCCAGGGAGGTCCTCTAGCATAATTCCAAAATTGGTCAATATATGCAAAACAGTGGAGGGCACACGATAACGTAGATGGCTGAGACACTATGCTACAGGGCGGAGGGTCGCGGGTTCGAATTCCGGTGAGGTCATTGGATTTTTCAATTAACTTAATCCTCCCAGCCGAACTATGGCCCTGACTCAGACTCTAAGAGAAATTAGTACCAGGAATATAATTGGAGTAGAGGGTAGCAGGCGCGTAAAGCTGACAAACTTACCACCATCTGTGAGCCGATAGATTAGAGAAAGTGTGGGAGCCTCGACGTCTCGCAACACTACGGGCATTAACGACGCTGTTAGTAGTTCACATGCTGAACTCTTGTGTCGTGCGGTCAGGACAATGAAAGAAAAACAGGATGCGGAGGATAATAATAGGACGATAAGACAAAGAAGAAGAAGAGAGTGTATGAAGTAAAGAAGAAAACATGAGAGACTAGTAGGAAAAGGAAGACGGCAATATGAAAAGCACAGAAGGTTTCTTGCTCATGCTTTGGGTCTGAGATAATCATAGCGTCAAACGGTACAATTATAATACGCTATGTATTGAAGTGGCAGTGAAAGGAAGAGGGCGTGGCCTACTTCAAAATATGCAATTTACCTCTTCCCAGAAGATGCTTCTCAAGATTTATTGCCGGAGCTTCAAAGCCTAAACAGAGAATGACGGCCAGTATCAGCGAAATTATGACGTCAGAGAGGAAAGTTGGCAACTGAAACACAAGAAATGAAGTGGCGTCACAACAAATATTAATAAGGTAAAGCTATCCCTGTAACAGACCGTAGAGACCCATAGGGTTGTGAGACGTCGAGGCTCCCACGTTTTCTAGACAATCGGCTCACAGATGGCCGTGAGTTTGTCAGGCTTAAGCGCCGACCGGCCGCCCTTAACCACCAGGAAGTTTTCTGGTGCCCATTCCTGTTAGAAGCTGAGTCTAATATACGCTAAACTAACAACAAACCGAAAGTAAGCAGCAAATTGAAGGCGTGCATTTGCTTATCCACTGAGCTAAATCCTGCTTTCTGTTTGTTTCTTCCTCATTGCTTGCTTAGCATCTTCTACTCTGAAGATGGAGGCAGTACATTTCTTCGAAACGCCATTGAATTCCTACCGGACTACACGATATCATCCCAGAAAGCAGTGCTCCAGATATTCATCACTATAAGAACCCCACACTAAATTAATATAAATTGTCGATGAGACTGAGAATCAGACCAATTTACTACCGTTAAAATTCACACTTGTCATTTGGGTTATGACATCGTGCAGACTGGTAGTTGGTTACCAACATCTTACAGCGATACACCGCCTTCTTCAGGTAAATGTGTTCCTCCCAATCTCAGTTATTCCTACCTGATGACTCAGATCTGACTCCGATGGAGCCTTACGAATCTTAAATCTCTCCTTGTGTCTCATCTTCAGTTTGCATTTTGCTTGTAGATGGAATTTGTTTCGTTGCTCTCTAACCTGAGCTTCCTGAATACGAGGGAAAGTCAGTAAATAGGTCACAAATGGAAGCAAAACTGCTATAATTCATGTAATATACTTTCTAGGTGTATCACTAGGTAGCAGCATTGTCCTACTTCATGAGAATCTAGGTAGCATACGCGCATGCGCATGTTGAAATAATGGTTTCGATAGTCAAAATGGCGACCGTGCTTGTGGGAATGCTACCGAAGAACAGTGTTCTGTTGTACATCTCTTGTGGGCAAAAGAACTCGCTTCCAAGGAAAGTCGTAAAGAAATGTTTCCTGCTAACGGTGGGATGTGTTTGTCAGTTAAAGCGGTTGCACATTAGTCGTAAATGTTTCGCTAATGACGAAGGGGTCGAAACGGAGGTGCGAAACTGTCTGTGATAACAGCCAAAATTCTTCTATGCTGCGGTTTGGACGCACTTGTAAAGCGATGGGACAAGTTTATCGGTTTTCATTTCATGCATGCTGCTGTGTTAAAATATATAACTTCTTTATTAAGACCGTCACAACACAACTATATCAAGGTCGGTGCCTTGTTTTGGCTCTGCTACATGTTTCGTCTATTAATAACCATCATCAGGCAAATACATGGCTAACATATATACACCATTGAACTGCAGTATTTATAAAATTGGATACAGTAATATTAATTATATTAAAATACCTGACGTAGAAATAAAATAAATTAGATTATATGAAACAAAGGTTTAGTATAAAACAAGAATAAAATTCATCAATTGATGCTTTACATCACATTTACATTCCATATAGAACGCACAATAATTTGTAAGATGAGGCACCGACTAAATAATTAACATTAATATTACTACATCTACATCACGAGCCTCATATAACAGTTTTTATACACAAAATATAGAATACTCCAATTTGTCCATGGGAACAAAACAAAATCACAAAACCAACGACTGACTCGATGATGTAAAGCATCAATCGAAGAATTTTATTCTTGTTTTATACTAAACTTTTGTTTTATATAACCTAATTTATTGTATTTTTACATAAAGTATTTTAATATAATTAATATTATTGTATCCAGTTTTATTAATACTGCAGTTCAAGGGTGTATATATGTTAGCCATGTATTTTCCTGATGATGGTTATTAATAGCCGAAACATGTAGCAGTGCCAAAACCAGGCACTGACCTTGATATAGTTGTGATGTTATAAGTGTATCAGTGTTTGTGAAGGATATATCGCGAAATAAATGTATTCTTGCCGGGTTCAAATATCACATATTTTGGGGTTTATATCCATTCGCGACCTATTTGCTGGCTCCCCCAAGTATACGTGTATACCCTCAGCGTGAGGCTGGTAATGAGCTGATAGTCTTCGGCCATGTTGCTGCCACAATAACAAATATTTGAACGTGCTTTCTTTTTAATAGAAATTAATGTAAATGGTATATATTATATTTTTCTTACAAACAGGATTATTTATACCAGGAGGCTTTATGAGGGTTTCTTCGCTGAAATGCATTGCGTATAGATGCCATGCAGATATATAAATATGTCAACAGATTTCGGGAAGGTTGGTAACAATTCCTTGAAATTTAAACCAGTGAGAATCAGAATCTGCTCTAAGAACCAGGTACGTCATACATTGCATAGGCAACTTGACGTAAAGAAAATTTGTAAATGTATATCTGAATTTCCCGCAATTGTACAAACACTGCAAGCATATTGAAAATAGAACCCAATAACTCTCTAATGATGACGTAATTGTATACGTCAGCAACAGATGACGACGTGCCCTTGTTCCTATAGTGGATGGAGTATACCTGAGATGTAATTGTACATAAAGACTTTTCTACCTCAAGGTAACCTTATCAAGTTATGTCGTAGACTAAAAAATGTTTTATGCAAAGTTTACCTCAGTTAAATCAGCGAGATAGATGGGAGTTCTTGCAGAACGTGACTCCACGATCTGATAGTTCAGATGTGTCAGGTACACGCAGTATGTCAGGCGACTAAGTGGTGTAATTACCCTCCAAGAGAGCAGCGTGTTGACAGGTCCTGAAATCGGAAGGTACTTCTTAATCTCTGGGTGAGATGAGATCTGTTCGGTACCTCAAATAAACGGGTTAGACTAGCGGCAACAATCTGAAATTTTATTCCACCGTTCATGGGTCAGAATCTCTGCTTGGACACTGGCTGTTCCGACTTGATATTTCCGTGATTTTCCATGTTGTTTTTTTTCAGTTATTAATTCACCATTCACCCTACCATTCGATGCTGTATTATCCGACATACAGATATCACTGTTAGATAACCCACAAAATTACTTTCTTTTAATAATGAACTCCATAGAAAAATCTCCATGACAAGTTAACAGTTAACTGAAGAGAAACACCGCCCCCCTCAAAAAAAAAAGTTCTTTCACCTGTCCATGAAAGCACGTCGCCCTATCCTAAGCCACGAAAACCCACATTACACACCCACACTACATTTGATTAGGGTTAATATTGATATCGTCCTCCCATCTATGTCTGTGTTTCCCAAGTAGTCTTTTTCAATCAGTATTTTCGACTAAACTTTGTATGATTTTCCGTTCTCCCAAACGCATGCCATATGCCTTATTCGCCTCAGTACTGAGTTCATCTCGCTTTAATGTTTAGCTAAGAGGACATGTTTTAGCATGTATACCAGTTGCTAGGCAACGGTCGTGAGATGTACTATCATACCAGACCAGTTTCTGGACACTGGCTCGGTAACACGTTCCAACGGTAACCAAAAATGATTAGCATATAAAAATAAATGGTGTTGCCTGCGCGGTCATTGCCGAGGAGTTAAAAACAAGAGATTTGGAGCAACCAGTTCAGTTGATAGTTGGCAGTCAGTTCCGTTCGGGGCTTAGTATGGAAATAGATGAATAACAATTGTTAACATCCGTTACAAGGAAACAGCTAATAAAACCACTGTAGAGGAACAGCCATTGTTAGAAGACGTTCCTAGGAAACATCTTATGAAGAGACAACAGGCTACTAAAGACTTAGCATGCAGTGATTTGTAAAGAGTGGAAATCAGAGATCGTGTTATAGTTATTTGTAGTTATGACCTGTAAGTAGACAGTAAATTCAATTACCAATCCAAAACCCCGTCTATAGTCACACACATACTACGAGAATATATTCCGAAACCTCTCACTATAAAATTTTCTCCATCGTGTTTTATTCACCCCTCAAAATCCTTAACGTCCTTTCTCTGTAAGCAGCCAAGTGCCAGATGAGATACTAACATTGGAAATTACCCTTAGGATATGATAATGCGCTGCCTGCTCAGGATTATTGCGCTGCTCCTGGGGGCGGGGGTGAAGTAACTTGGATAACCATTGTTAAGCTGCAGCTTGTTAAACGCCTTTATGCTGCTCTCTATCGACAACTTATGGTACTTTACCTCCATAACCGGTCACACACAAGAAGATCGTCACACCAACACCAAAAGCCCAGACGTTTCGGAAGAGACCATTGTAAAAGGCAGACTCCAATAGGGTTTTATCAGCGTCGGGCTGGTAAAACGAATAAATTCCGTCGAGGGATGCCAGCATAGCGACGATGCTCAGAATCCAGCCAGCAGTAACTTGTATCTGCAGTGAAAGTAAAATAAGATTTGCCTTGAGAAAGAAGTAGATAACCGTCGTCATCATCATCATGACTCGCCTTAGTTCTCTGTTCTTATTAGAATTCCTGTCTTCTAGGATATGATGCCCTGCAGTTTGCTTAATATGTAAAAATATTTCAAACGAACGTGCTGCCTCCATCTTCAGGGTAGGGCAGTAAGCGCCGAAGGAAAAGACAGTCAGTGATGTAGGGGAAGGAGGGTAAATACTGTATCTAGGAGCAGAGTGAAGGGAGCGGTGTCAAATTAACGTCATCCCGTGAGGTATGAACTGATATTCTCTACTGAGGTGTGACCCCGTGTAGTCTTACAAAAACTTAACTTTCGAAGAAAAATGTTCCCTCTAACTCTGGCGTCTGAAGAATATCCTCTACTCTGAAAATGCTTGGTTCGATTCTCGGTCTTGATACCGGATATCCTGTCTGAGAGATTCAGATATTTCCTTCACTCGTCCAGGCAAATGAACTCTTTGTTGGCCATTAAGCCTTACAGCGGTCACTATAGGTTCTTAGGTACTGACGCCGTCGTGAAATTTACCACAAACAAATAACCACTTTACCCTGGAGACAGAGGAGACAGACTCCTTCGAAACGTCGGTCTACCAGACGTCACGCTTCACGTTCCAAAACATCGCATAAGATATTAAAATTCATAGACTTCTGCCACAAGAACCTTAAAATTATTTCAATTTTATATTTTGATCTTTTCTTTATGCCACCGTCTACTTTGTTATTCTGTTAGTCGTCAACTCTTACCCCTGGATCTCGAAAGGGAGCCTTTTTTTTATGAACATAATTTTGAAGACGAAGCTTTTTAAATACCCCCCCCCTTTTTTTAGAAATCTGCACCTACCCCCCAAAAAACGCTAAATCTCCATTACAAAGCCAGCTGGTTAACATGTTTAGGGGGAAAACTGTGATTGTCATGACAGCAGATTAAAGTGATGTATAAAATATGTTATTTGTCGTTCTAGCAAAGCGGTACACATGCATGCCATTACGTGTTATAGAATGAATGTCAGAGAGTATTGGATTACCAATGACAACTTCAATTCCTTCCTCTTTGCTTCATACACAAGGTACCCGAAGATCACGCCGATGATCCAGGGACCAAATCTTGAATACGTAGCGTAGTACAACTGTGCTTTTTCAAAACCAGCTGCCATCTGTCTGCAACATAATATATATTTCAATAAATACATAGTTATGTCATGGTATATAATATGTATTACGTAACTGCGGACCTCATTAACTGATTTCAAGGTACACAGTTCATGCCTGAAGCGTCCCACAGGCATTCCCAAATTCCCTTCAATTATCCCTACTGAAAGTTCACATAAACATTAACACGTATTTCTTGTATCTTCTGTTCTTCATCAGATTTAGTAGTAGTAACAGTGAGATCGGTGCCGGTCACGGTAGCCGAGCGGTCTGAGGCATGCACTGTCTTCGCTCGCTCGGAAGCCGAGATCGTGGGTTCGAATCGCACTCAGGGAATGGATGTTTGTGTGCGTTTTTCTGGGTTTGTCTATAGGTAGAGGCCTTGCGACAAGCTGATCACTCGCCCAAGGAGTCCTACCATATGTGTAAGATCTAGAAAAACCGAAGTGAACGTAGTTCATGGAGGTAGGCCTAGCCCCACTGGGGCTGTACTGTCAAGGGAAAAAAACAGCGAGATTGGTACGTAATAAAGTTAATACTCTCCCCGTACTTAACTATTGAAGCACTGTCTCATAAAGACCTACTGTGGAGTTGATTCTTGATCTCGGCACTAAATGGGGGTGAGTGGTCAAATTCACACCCGGCCGCCTTACTCCCCCCCACCCCGGGAAGTGCCAACGGTACCCATTAGATAGGAGGCTGTGTGGGCCCCATATTCGACCTGGATGATGTGGAGAAGGGGAAAAAATTGCACTGCCGGGAATCCAACACGGGCCGTCTCTCTACCGACTGAACTATCCGGCTTTAATTAGATAATAACAGTATTAACTGAAAATAACAAGAGTTTACTTCACTATTCAGTCGGGTCTGGTCAAGTGGGATTTGTGGTGGACAAAGTGGAGCTGTGGCAGGTATTCTCCGAGTACTTCGGTTTACCTTGCCAATCTTCATTCCAACAATTGCTTCACAATCACCCTCACCTATCATCTGGGGCTGGTACAATAGGCCAGAAGTGGCCGCAATACAAGGGACTTAGTCCCACTCCACTAGCAATAAAAAAACTTCATAATTCTACAAGTTTACGAATATGTAGACGTATATTTTAAAATCGTAGACTCAAAATGTGGTTCTGTTCTTTATAAAAAATGGGATTACGTTTATGATCTAATCTTCTACTTACGGGGATCCTTTATGCCCTTTCTGTTTTAGTTTTAAGGCCTTGAATATTTCTGCGTAGTAGGTATTCTAGTAGTAGCAGACTGAAGTGAGAGGTAGTAGCAAGTAGCAGCAGGTAGTAGACTCAGCGGGTAATTGTAAATAGTAGTGGTAGCGAAAACAAGAGGACATGGCTTCAGCAGATAATAGTGAAAGCGGCAGGTAAATTATGCTAATAGTAGTATTCACACTTATCATTAAATACACCTTCATTTGTTTATATTACTAAATAAAGTACAACGTCCAGAGCCGAATTAGAAAGAAACAAGATGGAGGGCTACCGTGGGTTCTCCACACCGCAGAAATACTAGTATAATCCAAAAAGTTTACTTGGATATTTTGTTCTCTGAAAGGACGGAGAGTTTCTATGTATTTTTAGTTGCGATAATAAAAGAAATAAATTTATGGTTCCTGATAGGGGCCTCCATAATTTAATCCCCCACTCCAGCCCAGTAAATCTGGTTCTGGTACCCAGAAAATGTGTGGCATTCGTATTCAGGTAAAATACAAATTACACTTACTTTTCCACAAAGAAAGTGGCCGAGACCTCTTCGACATATGAAATTGTAAATGGCGAAACAACTCCGGCTATAGCGAGAGTTCCTAACAAAAGAAAATTCCACTTTCGAGGCCATTTCCACAGTGGGTAGAGCACTATTGGAGACAGCAGGAACAACTGCATGTCCACGGAGAGGTACCAGGACTGAGGCACGCACTGTAAGAAAACAGGTTTTCGTTATTAAAATTACAGTCTTCAGGTTTTACCCAAACGTTGCAGGGAGCAGTTTCCTCCGGAATATTAGTACCATAGTTTCCCACCAGATTACACGTCGACACATCCCATATAACAGTAAGTTCAATATTACGGCCTTACCGTAGCTTAAGTGGTTAGTCGCCGGGTTCAAACCGCGGCGGTCCGGGTCTGGTCATGTAGAATTAGCGGTGGACAAAGTGTCACTGGGACAGGTTTTCTCCGAGTACTTCGGTTTCCCCTGCCAGTTCTCATTCCACACCATGTAGTTGGTTATATCACAGAAAATAAAATGCTTCATAACACCCATGTGAGAACCTCGAATCATACATAAGGTAAATGTGTCCCTTTACTTAGTCACCTCACCAAACAGACTTTAAAGGAGTGGAGGCAAAGTTCCATGCATTTTCTTCAGCACTAGATGTAGGTGAGTTGCCAGTTTCATGCTTTAGCCCCTTCGCCCCCCAGGAAAGAGTCCAGTAGCCGTTGAATNTCCAATACCCGTTGAATAGGAGTCTGGATGGATCAAAAGGCGCAGTGTGAATAAATGAAAAATCTCTGCTTCTGCTGGGAAACGAATCTCGTTCACTCGGTCGTCCCGCCCGTCATATAATCGTTACAATTATTGAGATACCATCAGGAAACCTAAATTGCAGACGCAACCTTTATAAAGATGGCGCTTACCGTACGGTTCATGTCAAAATAATTGTTGATGTAGATGATATTTGTCCACCAGTTGCTCTGACAGTTCTCTGCCATCTGATTGGCAGATGCTGGAAGCAGAGGACCGGAGCCTACATATCTGTACAGCGTGGCATTTATCAGGATGACGATCGCGTAAGGCGGAGTTAATCTGGAAGACAACAATTGATTTATTAAACAAAAAGGCGTAGGTATTGGCTACAGTGACCCAGCTTCAAGTGCTTCAGTGTGCACAGCGAAAAGAGCAAGACCTATCTCTCTGTACAGTAAAATGTCAAGGTTGTTGCGTGATACCACCGTCAGAGTGCAGCACGTGCTGATTGCAATATTCATAAATTTATTTTTAAAAAGAGGAGTAAATATACAAAATAATAATAGTATATTATAAGATTTAAGTGAAGAGAGATGTTCAAAAATAGCGATGTGACCGCTGTAATAGAATAAGATGTTTCTATGAATGTGTTTAAAAGGGCCGGATGGGCATTGACTAGGGCATATCTGTACATATATTTCTTTTTCAAAGTAAAACAACTGTTGAAGTTTACAGTAAAATTTCCTTCCAACATGATTCAGTTATCCCTTTATACTTCTGAAACTCTTCTGTATATCTGCTATCAATCCGCGAATTACTCTTTCTCAACACAAGATTTTTGCGCAAACTGGTTCGGCACTTACAGACAGGACACAAACCAGTTTTCAACATGAAGTAAGACAAATTGCTCCCCATGTGAATTTTATACATTGTATCATTCGCTGGGTGGATTTATTATCACGTGACTTGGAACCAAAAATGCATTCAGTGCTACAAGAGACTGTGGAAGTTTTGAGCTCCATAAAAGCTCACCAGTTCAACACTCGCTTATTCTCAAATTTGTGACAGACCACAAGTGGCTGCCCTCAAAGTGAAAGTGAAGATATGACAAGGGATATGTCTAAGAAAACTCACCTGATATACCGATGGACGTAGAACATTGGGATGTTGAAACCAGATGTCTTATGCTTCATTTGTTTCAGAAATATATAACCGAGCAACAATCCACTCAGTACAAAAAATGTGTCCACTGAAAGGGTTGAATTAGTGATATACAGACGACCAGGATTCGTTAAGAACTGCAAGTAATTACAAACAATATTTACTGACGCTCTGAAATCCGTGCAATGAGTCCCTCCTACTGACACACACATACTGTTCTTCAAAGCGGATTCCGTACTCTAGGGGTAATGTTCCCACCTCATGACTCAAGGTACGCGAGTTCAAACCCGGCGGAGGTCGTGGAATTTTTAAGGGCGGAAAATTTCAGGGAATAAGTCCTCCGGGAGGGTCTTAAGTCGTATGTCCCGTGTCGTAGATTTACAGCACGTAAATTTATAAATAGAATAATTTATTCACTACTTTCAAAACATTGGACCCTCTACTCTGAGTCACTGACAAAGTAATTAAGTCAATTATAAATAAAAGAAAAACAGAACAGCCGATTTGAATTTAATGAAGTAAAAATGTAAAGCTATCACTCTAACATGCCGTAGAGGCCCATAGGGTTGTGAGACGACAAGGCTCACACATTTTCTAGACAATTGGCTCACAGATGGTGGTGAGGTTGTTAGCCTTACGCGCCTGCAGCCATTTACCCCCGGGAAGATTCCTGCTACTCATTTCTGTTAGAGACAGAGTCCATCCCAGGGCCATAGTGCGGCTGGATGGATTAGGTCAATTGAAAAGCAATTAATGACCTCATCGAAATCGATGTATTATTTTTTTTTGTTGGTAATAATGATTTGACATAAATTCCCGAGCATTATGAAGAGACATGCTCTTTTAACAAAATGTTAAGTAAACTATGCTGATGAGATGCATAATTACGTGTATAAATTCATTGTAAAATAACTAAACCTGCCAAGTGTTAGTTAATATGTTCTGTAAAGGTACACGCATCACAATCTGTTTTGCTTTTACACCCGGATCAACGAAAGTATGAACACGTGTCATATGAGGTCAAGTAAGCCGCCAGTTAAAGAAACTTTAACCAAAACCGATATACCAGAAACGCAGTTAAACACACATTACTTTATTCCATGTGAATATGACATGCCGTCAGAGATGTTTAGATAAATTCTACTCTATCCTCAACTGTGTGTAAAATATCTTTGATATTACATCATCAGGTAGTGACGTAAATCGTGATGTCATCATTACAAATGTACCACATTCTCTTCTCATTGGTATTCAATGGAAGCCAAAATCACCATACATCATTGTTTTTGGACACAGGGAATTTTTCTTCCGTAAGGTTGTCCGCATATTGTATGTCGTACCATCAAAACTGTCTTACAAGGGAATGGTCCGATCCGACATGTCGAAACTTGCCCTGACTTTTTTTTTCACTGCCAGAGTACACATAACAAAATCCTCTGTCAAAATTTTAGCTGCTAATACGTACTGCAAGTATTTTTTAAAAATTGCCGAAATTACTCATTTTTTGTGTACGCGGAACCGCTTGTACCAGAGGTTTGTACAACCTCAGCTGTGTACTTGTCAGATTACGATGCATTTGTGCCGTGTTATCTCTCTACCAATGCACCGGAAGCCTAGGCTGTGAGTCAGCCGTGTTGCGTGTTGCGTACTGCTCTGCTCTGCTAGAGGTGGACATTTCTCCAATGGTCTGGCAGGCTATAATATTGGCCATGTTCAGCAAATTTTAAAAAATTCTTGCAGTGCGTATTAGCAGCTAAAATTTTGACAGTGGATTTTGGTGTGTGTACTCTTGCAGTGAGTGAAAAAAAAAAATCAGGGCAGGTTTCGACATGTCGGATCGGACCATTTCCTTGTTAGACGCAGTATCTACATTGCATTCCTCTGAACCCAGCAACACGAATAAAAAAATCAAGGAACGATGGCAGAGAAGCGAAATGATAGGCAGAATTAAATAATATATAAATGTTAATGTAAAGGGAAGGCAGGCAAGTTGGGAGGAAACTCCATCTAAATTACCTCTCTGATTCGAAATTTTGGTTACTTACATCAAAAGACTTGCTAAGACTGATATTTGGAGCTTCACTGTCCTCCTTGTATCGGTGACCCAGAATGACCCAGCATATCGTAATAAACCTGATACCGTGAACAGCTTGAAGAGTGTCCCCAGAAGATTTCGTACTCAGCAACTTCTTGCCATTGCTATATACAGAGAATGCCAGCAGCAGTTCCTTCTTCTGCCCTGCAATTAAATCAGCCACGATGATTCTAGCATTTCTGTGTCACTGTTTCACTCTATCAGTATTATGCTGGACATTTCCTAAAGCATATTTAATTTACACGAGATTCCGAGAGATGGCTGCAGGCTTCCACGCGTACAGGTGATTGGTTCGCGTTATTTGTGCTTAGTGTTTTTATTCTCGTATGTGTGTCCTGAGAAAGCATTGTGATGGTGCAAAGAAACGCACACCGGATTTTGACGAATTTACAAGTTTTCAGATACCCTGAATACGAAATAATTGGTTTCTTGCTTGGATGTCTTCCGTCTGTATGTATGTGCGCCTTGCTGGCACCTGAAAGGTTGGGCGCATTCTGTTCATTATAGACATCTGTTATATTCCTGTCAACACAACACCATTTCCAAAAGGTGCAGTTCGCTATTTAGGGAGACATGTTTCGGCACATTTGTGCCATCGTATGGTCCGGTTTCTAGTTAAAATTATTCTGTCCTGTACTTAGCGCATGTTTTTCACTTAAACTGAGTAGATCCATTGGTGTGTAATATACACGTATCTAGTATACTGCACAATGTATTATAATTGGTTGCTTTTAGCCTACTTTCCCTTTTTCGAAAATATTAATTGAGGCTAATGCTATCTCCATTCCGTCTGTTTTTCTGTGAATCTCCTCTACTAAAATTGTAATGCTTGAACCAATCTCTGTGGAACGTGGTATGTATGTCGTGGCATCTGAGCCCATCTCAACGGCGCACTTCATAAATCCCTCCCATTATTCTCTGTGTCTCTATGTGTACCCCTCATATTTTTGCTAAGCAACGGCGCGGTAAATCCCGCGGCAACGAATACACGCAAAAATGGAACAATTGTTGGACACGTATATCTGTGGGTCTGTCTGTGTATCTCCCTACAGTTGCTAGGTACCAGCTCCATGAAGATGTTCCAGCGGCAACAAAGAATTGTTATAGGCATTGTTTCTTATGAGGTCCGTGTCGTATCAAAGGAAAGTAGGCGATTGGTTCTTGAATGTTTTATGTGAATCTGCATCACTGAACACACACTGTGTGGCCACTTCGCGCGTGCTCATACGAAGTTTAGGTATGGAAATCGAAAGGAAAGGGAACACCGGGAAGATCTAAATGCGGATGGGATGATAATACGAAAATAAATCTTAGAGGTGTAGTTTGGAAGGGCGTGGACTGCATTAATCTGGCTCAGTATAGGGGCTAGTGGCAGGCAGTTGTGAACACGGTTATGAACACTCAAATTCTGTTAAAACGCTGGTTATTTCTTAAGCAACTGTTGGCTTCTAAGAAGGACTAAGCTTCAAGGAGTTAGGTGTTTCGTAACATGTCTGCTTATAATTGTTTCTTGCGCCGGAAAATAGATGGCTTAGAACAGACCTTTCAGATAAACCTGCCTAATGTTTCAGTCATACATACATATAATTCCACATGAGGAAAAGTAAATAATTGTAATAAAATTACTTAAGTTTCTTAATAAAATTAATTAATTATGGAGTAAACTGAAATCTTAACAAAGTATCTCACCTTTGCCTATGAGGTCATACGCAGTGTTTGAGACGATCAGCAGTAAAAAGGCAGCAAGAATACCGCTGCAACAGAAGGCAAACCCGTGTAACTTAAGAGAATAAATTCGTATGCGGTCTAAAGGCAATAAAATGACAAAATTTGTTGAACTGTTACTGCTCGGTGTGCAATTCATAACTCATTAATATACCAGGGAGAGACAGTAAATAGGTCACAAATGAAAGTAAAACAGTTATAATGATCGTAATTGGTTTTCTACGTGTATCACAAAGTAGCGGCACTGTCCAGCTTCATGACACCATAAGTAGCAGACGTTCATGCGCATGTTCAAAGGCTGGTTTCTGTAGTCAAAATGGTGACCGTCTCTAAGTTGAAACGGAGTTGCGGAAGTGACATGGAAAAGAGTTAAAAGGCTTATAGTCTGCGGGGTTCGACGCACTGGTAAAGAGATGACACAAGTGTATCAGTAATGGTGGAGGATATATCGATAAATAAACGTTTCGTTCCCAGTTGCGAATAACATATATTTTACTTTCCATATCAATTTGTGTCTTGTTTACTTACTCTTCCTCGTATTACAGACCTTCGCCACAAATCATATTCGAGTTAAATATTAACGAAATGAATAAGCGGAAACTTACACGGTTATCCAGTCTTCGGTAGCGAGCGATTTTCCCTCATTAGTTTGGCAGTACTCCTCAGCTACTGATGTCATTAGAGGGAGATTCATATCTTGTAGGTATGAATTGAAGATGCCTTCAAAATCCTTCGCGCTGCATGTTGATGGAATACAGTAGGACAGCGTGAGGCTCAAGTCAGATAAATCAAAAGCGACCTGCAAGTTGAGAATTTCTGCGTCAGTGGGGCCGAATCCTTCTTGCGAAGCCAACAGTCGCTCAGCTACTCAAAAATTTCACAACTTTTTTGCATGAATATTCGTTACCCGTTTACAAAAGCCTCCCACTAAACTCCATCGTAAGCCAGATGAATCCAGTTCGTACCACCATATCCTATTTAATACCCATTTTAATATTATCTTCTTATCTACATCCAGGTCTGCTACTGGTCTCTTTCTTTACTGCTTTACCACCAAAAATCTATATACATACTTTTTCTCTATCAAGCGTTCTATTTAACTTTGCCTCATTCTCGAAGGATCTATGAGTAATCCTTAACTTAATATCTTTCCCCGCATTCTGGTGACAAGACATCAACATAAATATTATTTAATATTACATTTACGTATCCTGTTGCATCGACAGATCACATAATATTTATAAGTTGCCAGCAAAATTTTCGGAACCTTCAGAAAATGTTATTGTCAGGTCTCAGATTAAACATTAAGAATCAAGCCTTACTACGTAACCGAATTCCTAATAATTGTTCGATTTTGATATAGGTCTACTTCATTAAATCTTGCTAATATATATTAACGAGATTTAATGAAGTTCTTAAAATATAATCAAGTAAAAGGTTATTTATTAATGCTTTATTTAATTTTAATGACAGAAAGATGAAGTTTGTGACGAATCTACCATGACCCACTTGTATTTTCAGCCAGTATCTTGGAATATCCTGGGATATAACGAGGAAAATCTCAATTAAATATCCAGTTTGCGGGTCAAAAGCATCTTGCTTTGCCTCTTCACTTATAGGTAATAAGTGAATCGCTCAAGAGTATTTAAAATTTTGTTTTCTGCTGTTGGTTATATAGAAACAAAGTAATATATATTATTTGTCACAGATTGCTGATCATTTTATTGATTTGTAATAATTTCTGTAATAATATGATGAAACAGATAGCATACCTTTCTACAGAATGTCTTATTTTTCATATTTTCAAATAATCATTGAAATATGTGCATCGCGTTAAGAAAAATATAATATATATATATATATGCTGGTAGAATAAAATGTAATTCCAACGTAATTATACGTAGATTATTCGTCATCGAAATAGAGCGCAGTGAGTTGGGATTCAGAAACGAAGAATGTGATTCGAGGAATTATAATTATGCTGTAGAAACAATATAATAATCCTAAAAATCATTGATAAAATAAGGCGCAGTGTTTTGTATGTGAATGTAAGATTTTTTCATGCTTTTCTTTCTTATGAATATGACAAATATAGGGTGTTACAACAGGCAAACAACTGCTTTTGGTAACGTATGTACGTAAAAGATCTTGTTTAATGTTGAATTTATTCTAACAGGTCACTCACAGTTCTGTCGTTGCCTCTCACATTAGGAGCTCTTATTCTGAGGCTTTCCACATGTGGCAAGTTTTGCGGGCTTAATTTCTGGACTGAGTCTGGTTTCTGCCGAAATTCGGCGAGACAATGCTGGCCACTGAACACCCCGACGCCAGTGTTCACGTGCTCCACTTCGATGCACTCGTCGAAATTCCCGAGGAACACCGACTGCCCCATCAGCACACTCTCCGGAAACTTAGTCGAGGAGTCAAACACTGCAGGCAGAACAAGAATTCAGAATACACACCTTACTTCACGGGAGTCGGCATAGCGACTGGATATGGACTGGACGGCCAAGGCGTCGGAGTTTGAGTCCCAAGAGAAGCAAGGTATGTCTTCTCTACATGTCGTAGAGACTGGTACTGGAGCCCACACGGCATTTTATCCGATGGATACCATGGAGTATTTCTCAGGTGATAAAGCGGCCGGTACGTGAAGCTGACCGCTCACCTCCAAATAATGCAGAGATCAAGAATACGTGGATTTATGTACGCACTCACCCATACGTCTTCATGCCGTTGTAATTAGTTAGGAAAGCAGAGGAAATATTTTGACCGAAGAGAGATGAAGTTGTAGATAACTCCATAATAAGGAGCTTCATAACTTGTACACTCCTCTCCATTCCTCTCCAAGTATAATTAGAATGATAAAGTTAACGAGAATGAGATGGGCAGGGAATGTAGCACGAATGGGAGCGAACAGGAATGCTAATAGGATGTTAGTGAGAGAACCAGAAGGAAAAATGTCAATAGGAAGACCAAGACGTCGGTGAATGGATAATATTAAAATGAATTTCAGAGAGATAGATTAGGGTGGTATAGACTCGTTTGTTCTGATCCAGGATAGGGAGCAGTGGAGGGTTCTTTTGAACACTGTAATGAATTTTTGGGTTCCATAAAATGTTAAGATATTTTTTAGTAGCTGCACAAATGCCAGCTTCTTACGAAAGGCTTAGCTCCCTGGAGTTGTTTCGTTTTATGGAATTTGACGCATGTAATTTGATAGACCAGTACAGAAGTATTTCAGGAAGCTGGTGCCTCCTTCTTCAACGTTAAACCATGAAGAAGGACGTAGGATATGCCTTCGAAAAATAACATAAAGATCTACCGGACTACACTGCATCACATCTGAGATAACTGCAGCCGCAATACGTCTGCTTGCCTCTAGGAGAACATCAAATTCATACTCTGCTACGAGTCTGATTTTCGTTTGGAATTGTATATTACATTTAGGAATTTACAGACTTCACGGCGTATATATGTGCCAGTATATTCAGATACTAACAATAAATATACTTACTCAGCATGGCGTGTTATTTTTCTTGACAGACTTCACGGCGTATATATGTACCAATATATTAAGATACTAACAATAAATATACTTACTCAGCATCGCCCAGTAGCTGGTAGTGATCTGGTCCATGTAGACCTGAAAATGTTGTGCGCAGATGGTATTGTTGGTAGTCGCCAACACAGAAGATCTAGTTTCTTGAAAGTTCTTAATATTTAAATAAGGTAAGACATCTTTCCATTTATGGTCGTGTTCTAACTCGGCACTGTTGTAAGTTCCCAAAACAGATATAAATATTAATACATAAGGTAATAACATTCGCAGCATTGTTGTAGCCCAGGTTGTCTCTGTGAGAATACAAAACACATCTGAAGAAACTTTCGCAACTTAAATGGTATTTTGTCTCATTTTTAGCAAAATCTTATCGGAATATTCTTCAGCATCGAGCTAAATGCTCGTCACATTTTTAATTAAGGAATGGATGAGTCTAATGTTTGAAGATGAAAAGTAAGTCGTTTGTAAGAATGTTCGCTTGTTAAGCTCAGTGCAGTTTATACGCATAATGTTATCTTATCAGTTTCTGCAGTTGTATCAGAAAACTTCTGAATAATGTATTCACTTATTTGTTCATCCACTCTTCATTTTCTCTATTGCCCTTTGTTGGGCCCTGACCTCTTCTTTGGATCCCTGATTTTTATTACACAGGTGGTAGGACTCCATGGACGAGTGATCAGCCCATCACGAGGCCGCTAACTACACACAGGACACACAAACACACAATAAGCGCACATATAGACATTCATGCTTTGAGTGGGATTCGAAACTACTACCCCAGCGTTCATGCGAGCGACGACAATTTATCCCTTAGACCGCGCTTTCACTCTGATCGGCCTCTGCCTGATGTATAGCTCATATAATTCCATAAGTAAACTGGATACGATGTTATCAAAATAATTGTATTTTTGCTGTATTAAAAAGTGAGTTTTTAAGTGTCACCATGAAATGGCACGTGCTCAAGTTACTGATGACCTCCAGACATGGAAGGCATTTGTGGATGTAATGGATAAGCAGTAGAGGGCAGCCGACAAGGGATGATCCTCCAATTTGGAATTGGTCATGGAATTAACCATTCGCCATAAAGGAAAAATACTTGTTACGAAATGTTGCAAAAGACCTCAGACTCGGGACGTTCCCTTGGATAGTTTGAAAATACCTAAGCGAAAGAAAATAAATATGGGATATGTCATACTCCCAAATACATGACAATATAAAGGACAGTTTCTTATAGGAACTAGAATATGTATTCGATATATTCACTAAATACAATATGAAAATTTTGTTAAGATATTTCAATGCCAAATTTATTAGGTAAGAGATTTTCAAAACAAGGATTTGAACTGAGAAGTCTCACGAAATTAGTAATGATAATGGAATAGCAAACTTTCCTGCATTCAAAATTCTAATTGTCAAAAAATACAAGGTTTCGAAATCTCAGCTTTCATAAATTCACTTGGAAATTCATCTCCTTATGGAAAACACGCAAAATGATCGACCATATTTTTAAATAAAGGAGACGTTATTCATGTTTACCTAATGTTTACCTTTCAGTGGAGAGGACTGTGGCACCAGTCACAATCCGGTTTTTGCCAGTGTTAGAGACAGGCTGGCAGAAAACAAACCCAGAAATGCAAAAATGTGATGTGGAGTGATTCAACCTCAAGAAATTAAATGAAGAATATGGTGGAAAATATTGTCATGTAAAGACGTCGAGCAGGTTTGCAGCTTTATAAAACTTAGAAGATGGTGTGGATATTAATAGAGCCTGGGAAGCTACTGGAGGGAGTATCAAAATTTTCAGTGAAAGAAGTTCTAGTTTATCAAGAACTTGAGTAGCATAAGCCATTGTTCAGTGAGTTGTGTTCAGTAATGTTATACCAAAGGAAACAGGACAAATTGCATCGGAGCCAAATGAAATGGGGATAATCTGAACATTATAAAGCACAAAGCCAGCAGGCATCTGGAAAGAAGAGGAAATGTCTGAAAGATAAAAATGAGCTTGCAACAGTATGTAAGCGCAAGAACATTAGAGGCCTGTATAGAGGAATAATCAAATTTAAGAGGGGTTGCCAACCTGGAAGTAACTGCCTGCAGATTCCCACAATTTTTGAATACGTAGAAGAATTTCTTCTTCCAGTTGCTGAATATATTGCCACATGTTGGGTACGTCACGCGACAAATAACTTCACTTGGGTCTCGGACTTAGCGAATCTTTATTGGACACTCACACTTACACACCTTACAATTATTATCGTTTGCAATGTCACTTGACTTTGGCCCAGTACTCCAATGCGACGTCTCAACTATGGTTGCCCGTGGTTGGATCTCAATTGTCTCTGGCAGCGGCTATTCTCTTCTGTGTCGTCTCTGGCTCTGCTTATGTAGGCGTTATGATGACCGGATACTAGACACCATTCCTCACGGTTCCGTTACCGCTGTTCAGACAGTCCATTGTTACGGGAACGCTTCTTATAGAATACACCGCTAACGTGTTTCGTCTCATCCGTTGTTACGATTTGTTGCTGCGGGAACTCCCCAATTTCCACGAATTCGTTGCCGTGTAAGTGTCCGTTCCGATTGTAGCGGTTGTCGCGGCGGTTGACGTAAGGGAAGGCGTCACAGTATATAGGATCAGAGTTATTAGGCTGATAGAAATACTTAGAACTGAACCATTAGTATCTGAGTCTAATCCTTTTGAGGTTGAAATAGTTAGTGTGAAGTTGAAAAGGGAAGACCAAGGCGTAGGTTGGTGAACAATATTAAAATGGATCTTAGAGAGACAGGATGGGATAGTATGGATTGGATTGATCTGGCTCAGGATAGGGACGAGTGGGGGGCTCTTATGAACACGGTAATGAACCTTCGGTTTCCATAAAAGGCTGGGAAATTCTTTCCTAGCTGCAAAATTGGCGGCTCCTCCAGAAGGGCTCAGCTCCACGACAAAGTAAGTAAGTAAGTAAGTAAAGTTGAAAAGGGTAAATTACGAGATATTGTTCAAACTCTGGGAGAACTAATTCAAGCATGAAGTTAAATATTACATTCTGAGATCATAAACTCAATACTTTTATTTGGAATAAAAATTTATTGAGTAGTTGAATGAGTATTTATAAACAAGTTTCCCAATAGGTTGATAAAACTGACTGCAAAATGAGTAATCACTGATGCTTATCACTGCTATCAACGTCATACAAAATGTTATCCAATATGCTTGTCTCAAATTTAAGTCCATATATAAGTGATATTTTTGAGGATCATCATTGTGGGTTTTGATGTAACAGATTAACTACTGATCAGATCTTTTACATTTGTCAGACACTGGAAAGAAAATGGGAGTACAATTAGACAGAGCAACAAATATTCATAGACTTCAAGAAACCTTGTGATTCACTTATGATGGAAGTATTGTACAATATTTTTATTAAGTCTGGGGTAACCATGAAACTAGTTGTAGGCAAGCAGATTGAAATATGTTTAAATGGAAACTATTTGTATAATAAAATCCATATAAGTTAAATTTGGTTGGTACATTCAAAATGGCCTGAAACATGGAGATGTTTATTACTATTGTTTACAATTTTTCTTTAGGATATGCCGTTACGAAAGTCCAAAGAAACAAGGTAGAACTGTAACTAAGTGGGATATATGAGCTCCGATCTATCCTGATGGTGTAAATCTATTGAGACATAACATAAATGCCATCAAGAAAGAACACAGAAGCTCAAATTAACGCCAGTATTGAGGTAGATGAGATTGAATTTGGGTAATGTCAGAAGTACAATATTCCCATATTATATCATTCATAAATTTACTTGGACAGCTACTGATGGAAACATACAACCAAATCAACCATATTTTGGTAGACAGGAGACTCTCCTCATGTATTTTGATGTCAGATCAGGGCAGCAAATTTTGAGACTGACCACTGTCTGGAGGTGGCAAAGGTTAGTGAGAAACTGCCAGTGAGTAAACAAACTAACACAATTCATTTGTGAGTTTCAATCTCAAGAGATTAAACAAGGTAGAGGGTAAGGAGCAGTATCGTGTTTAGATCTCAAATAGATTGGTAGCTTTGAAAAACTTAGACACTGAGGTGGATATTAATAGAGCTAGGGAAAGAATTAGAGAGAATATCAAAAATTTAAGCCAGAGGGAGTATAGGATATTATTAATTGATGAAACATAAGCCATGGTTCCATGAAGGATGCTCAAGATTATTAGCCCAAAGGAAAGAAGCCAAACTGAAGTGGTTGCAGGTCCAGGAGACATAAATGGGGATAATCTGAACAATATAAGACATGAAACCAGCAGGCATTTCAGGAACAAAAAGAGGGAGTATCTGAAAGACAGAATTGATGACCTTGCCATGAACAGTAAGAACAAGAACATTAGGGACCTGTGTAGAGGAATAAATGACCTTAAAAAGGAGTTACCTACCTGGAAATAACTTAGTGAAGATTGAGAATGGTGATCTGCTTGCAGATTCCTACAACATTTTGAATAGGTGAAAGAACTACTTCTCTCAGTTATCGAATGTACATGGGTCAGTGGCGTTAATCATATAGAAAAATGCATACAGCTCAGCCGTTAGAACCTGATTCTAGACCATTGAAAGCTGAATTTGTTATTGTAAAGTTGAAAAGTTATAAATTTTGCAGGTAGTGATCAAATTCTGGCAGAACTGGTTCAAGTATGAGGTGAAATATTATGTTCTAAGACAGGCATGTCAAACTCAACTTGTACAGAGGGCCACCTCAGCCCTATAAATAATAGTCCAGGGCCGCACTTCAAAATAGAAATATACATTAGATTTTGATACAAGGAAATTAAATATATTTTTTATTTAGGAATAATTTCAATATAATTACCTAAAGTGGAACTCTTATATTTTGCCACAAATCAAACATGTAATTTTACCTTCTATTTCACAACAGAAATAAGCGATTTCCCATTTTCCTTGAAAAACACGGCGCTCACTTTCAATAGTTCTTCTTTTGCTACTTGAATTTTTTGAAAGCAACATTGCCCTTTAAAAGTTACTGTAATATACAAGAAAACTCGTAGTTGATAATTTAATGTTTAATTATAACCTTTATACGTTCATCACAGTGTAACATCAGCACCTGTCGCTGTGTGCAAATGAACTGAATGACAATGTACAAGAGACTACCGCACTAGTAGGAAGGTGTATCTTGTTTCAGTAGTCATAAAAGTGAAAGTTTGCTAGCAGCCCATTAGACAATAGCTGGGGGCTGCAAGCTAGTTTTGAAGGTAGAAATACTTTGCACTTGTCTGCCTGTTGCCACCCTCCTTGCATTCTTACTACGCCTCCAAAAGGGATTCTTGGAAATACTTGGGGTGGTGAGGCCGCAGGCCGCATGTTTGACACGGCTGTTCTAAGATATGTAAGCTAATTAATTCTATTTGTCATAAGGAAAAATTGCCTGATGAGTGGAAGGAGTCTGTTATTGTACTCGTACAAGTTCACAAGAAGGGTGATAAAACTGACTGTGCTAATTATCAGGGGGTATCACTGATACAAACTTTATACAAAATTTTACCCTAAATTTTTCTCTCAAGTTTAAGCCCATATATAGATGAAATTATTGAGGGATCATCAGTGTGGGTTATGACAGAACAGATCAACTACGGACCAGGTCTTTTGCATTCTTCAGGTACTGGAGAAGGAGTGGGACTACAATGGGACAGTACCTCAGCTATTCGTAGGCTTCAAGAAGGCCTCAGATTCAGTTAGGAGATAAGTATTGTACAACATTCTAATAGAGTTTGGGATACCCATGAAACTAATTAGGTTGATTAAAATGTGTTTAAATGAACGTGTAGTAAAATCTATATAGGTAAACATTTGTCTGACACCCTCCCTACCCAGAATGGTCTAAAACAAGGAGATGCTTTACCGCCTCTCCTTTTCAACTTTGCTATAAAATGTATCGTTAGGAAGGTCCACGAAAATGGGGTGGGACTGAAATTAAATGGGACACATCAGCTGTTGGTCTATGCTGATGATGTGAATCTCCTGGGTGATAATATAGATACCATAGAGAAAAACACACAAACTTCAATTGACGCTAGTAATGAGGTTGGTCTAGAAGTAAACACAGAGAAAACTAAGTATATGTTGCTGTCTCATCACCAAAATACAGAGCAAAATCATGATATAAAGATAGGGTACACATGTTTTGAAAATGTGGCACAATTCGGATATTTAGGAACAACAGTAACAAATCCAAACCAGATTCAGGAATTAAGAGGAAATTGAACTCGAGTAATGCTTGCTACCATTCAGACCAGAACATTTTGTCTTCTCGTCTGCTGTCCAAAGACATAAAAACCAGAATATTCAAAACTATAATTTTGCCTGTGGTTCTGTATGGGTGTGAAGCTTGGTCTGTGACATTAAGGGAGGAACATATACTGAGGGTGTTTGAGGACGGTGTTGAGGAGAATATTTGGACCGAAGAGAGATGAAGTGACAGGAGGTTGGAGAAAAATGCATAATGAGGAACTTCATAACTTCTACTCTTCTTCAAGTATAATTAGAATGATCAAGTCAAGGAGAATGAAATGGGCAAGATATGTAGCACGAATAGGGGAGAAAAGGAATGCATATAGAATGTTGGTTGCAGAGCCAAAGGAAAGAGACCACACGGAAGACCAAAACGTAGAAACATAGGTGGGTGGAAAATATTAAAAGGGATATGATGAGGTCGTATGGATTGGGCTGACATGGCTCAGGATAGAGCACAGCGGAGGGCTCTTGTGAACACGGCAATGTACTTTTGGGTTCCAGAAAATGCATGGAATTTATTGAGTAGCTGCAGAATTGGGGGCTTCTCAAGAAGGGCTCAGCTCCATGAGTGAGTGGACACTGGTAGCTGTATGTGCTTATAGTCCATTCGCGGAGACAAGAGGGTCCTCGTAAACAAATGCATGCGGTATCTCCTTCGCTCTTTGAATGAAATCATGCAGGGATCACGTGATGGGTGTACCATTGCAGGGGCGTCCAAAGTTCACTCTTCAGTCTGAATGCAGGTTAACGTGCGTCTGAATGCAGTGAGTAGACTGAGTAACTGCGCGCTTTGTCCACTCCTTGCTGTCAGCTGTGGCGACGCGGGGCTTGCTTTGTTTACGCTGTCTCGTCTCCGCGAATGGACTGTAGGATAATCAGCTCTTGGTTCCAATATGCATGACATACTGGTAACCATTCCTTGGTTGGGTGGTGGAAAGTAAAGCTTCCCTTTATGAACATTTATTTAATTATGCTGTAGTTTAATGATGGATGACAGTAAATAAAAATTATGAAGGACACCCAATAATCCAGCAGGATGTATGTAAATGTCTTGTCGTAGTAATAGGTCAGAAAAATACAGTACCGGGAATACCAGAGGCCACTTTTGGCCATAATCAATGTAGTTCAGTCCAGTTCACCCTTCCTGTATCAGTTTCCTTAAAATCCAATTCAGTAGTATCCTCGCAACTCCTCTGTTTTCAAAGTGGCTGCTTTTCAGGAATTTCCTCACAAAAATTCTCTAAATTCATTTGCCCCCCCCCCAGTTTGTTTCTTGACTATCGGAGAAACCATAGGCGTCTTAAGGGGGACTTACCTGTTGTGTCAGTGACTGTTCTGAGCTGTCCTATCGAAAGAAATTTCCTTTAATGTGGTGCATCTGTTACAGTAATATAAAAAATGTAGATAGGATCTAAAAGTTTGTGACAATGGTATATTGCTACAAGTATTATTTTTTTTTTTTACATTATCCATCTTCTTGTCTATTTTTTAAAATAAAGGTCCTGTTTATTTTTCAAAAAACAATGTTTCGGAGTCTGGATTCTGTCCCCGTCCTCAAGTATAACCTACTCAGTTAGGTCCAATACATACAGCTAGCCCCTATCTCCGGATGTAATTGGCCTTGCGGCACTTGACTCGATGCATAAATAATAAAGAATTTAATTGAATTGTAATTAAACAGAAGCTGGAAGGGTTAGGTACTGATCTGCATCAGGACATGGTCATAATTATTTTCCCTGGAAGAACCTAAGACAACCTATTTTCCATGAAAATATTTAGGGATATTTATTCTCTTAGTCACTATAGATTTATTGCAGTCAAGATTCGAACTGGGTATCTCCATACATCTAATTTTCGTGGCAACCCGTTGTAGATCGGACCCATGTTTATTTCTACTTTTCAGCTCGAAATGATCCCAAAAGCTCACAGTTAAGCCATGGACATTCTGTATACTGAGTATAGAGAGGAAAATTAATGTTGAGTTGCAGGCAGCAGTGCACCTTCTTCACTGCGTCTGTCTAGACATTGGGATGCAATAATACTTAAGTCACATTAGAGTCATAACTTAAAATGTACGTTTTTAAAAGTTAATTAACCAAGCGGTGGTTGTACCATTTCTGTAGGAAGTGAAGAAAATTCAAAAGGGAAAAATATAAAACGTAAAAGTAGCTAAAAGTGTTCAATTATTGAATTTTCATTCAACATCGTAAGAATATGAAAACTTCTCATATCTTATAAGATCTGAGGTTCTCAGAGCGGGGACTGTGAAAATTGCAATCTTCCGGGATCTGACGCCATGTAGCCTACTAATATATTTACCAATGACTCGGAAGTAAATATGTACTAGGACACGTGGTATTACATGCCAGAAGTTCATAAAACCTCACATGCCTTGACGTATATTGTCTTACATGGGATGTTATGCCATGAAGTCTAGTTGAAATTTCGAAGGAACACACTGCTTCCGTCTTCATGGTCCTCGTCACGTATCGCATTCCGTTGCGTCTCTTCCGTGCCCCTTCTCTTACTTCCTATTCCTTAATTGGATGTCCCATCCTATCTTCCCGCGTGTCCTTCACAACCACTTCAGTAATGTTGTGAATTCCTTCCCCTAAAGCGACTGGCTCTTCCACCAGTTTATTTGTGTCTCCCTTGTCACTTCCTTCTTGTTTTTGTGGGGACCCTTCTTCAGTGTTATCTTGTTTGGTCTTCCTGCCTGTAAAAATAAACAGAATAAATATTTCAACCGGATGTTTCGTAAAAGAGCTGTAGTAATAATTATCCCCTGAAGGGAAATAGCCATTTAAGAAATGTATATAATATAAGTTCCCGAAATTCAAGCGTACACTTACGCAGTGTCACAAACTTAATAAGACAGTAGCTTTGTAAATCAACGAAGTGATCCATTTCAATGTAAATCATCGTCTCTTTCGCAAATTTTAAAACATTTCCGTTTATGTTTAAATTTGAAAACGTTACCTCAAAATCTCTAAGAGAGGCGTGTGGAACAAGCAAGGGATCTCTGTATTCCTAAGCTGTAGGTAAAGCTATGTATAGGGCTGTGAGACGTCGAGGCTAACTGTCGGCTAAGAGATGACGGTGAGGTTGTCAGCCTTAAGCGCCGGGGCCCTGGTATTCGTTTCTGTTAGAGGCTGAGTCGGCGCGAGGGCCATTGTGCGGCTGGAAGTATTATATCGTTTGAAAATCTAATGGCCTCATTGGGAAACGAACCCGCACAATTCCGACTTGTATAATAGGGCCACTCCCACTCTATCATCTATAGGACTCAGAATCCTTCTTACGCTGGAACTAACAAGTCCCGAACAATAAGCCGACAACTGGTTTCTGTAGGTGTCCAGATATTTCTGAAAGAAGTCAAATATTTATAGTATCCCCAAGGAGGTCCTCTAGCATCATGCCAAAATTGGTCCATATATGCAAAACTTTGTAGGGCACGCGATAGTGTAGTTGGCTGAGGCACTATGCTACAAGGCGGAGAGCCGCGGGTTCGAATCCCAGTGAAGTCATTGGATTTTTTTCAATTAACCTAATTCTCCCAGCCGAACTATGGCCCTGGAGTCGACTAAGACCCTAAGAGAAATGAGTACAAGGAATATTCATGGGAGTAAAGGGTGGCCGGCGCGTAAGGCTGACAACCTTATCGCTATCTGTGAGCCGACTGTCTAGAGAAAATGTGGGAGCCTCGATGTCTCACAACCCTACGGGCCTTAACGACGCTGTTAGTAGTTCACATGCTGAACAATGTGTCGTGCCGGTCAGGACAATGACCGAAAAGCAGGATGCGGAGGATAATAATAGGACGATTAGACGAAGAAGGGGAGAAGAAGAGGGTGTATAAAGATAAGAAGAAAACATCAGAGAGTAGAAGGAAAAGGAAGAAGGCAATTATGAAAAGCAGAGAATGTTTCTTGCTTACACTTTGGGTCTGAGATAATCATAGCGTCAAACAGTACAATTATAATACGCTATGTATTGAAGCGGCTGTGAAATGAAGAGGGCGTGGCCTACTTCAAATATGCAATTTACCTCTTCCCAGAAGATTCTTCTCAAGATTTATTGCCGGAGCTTCAAAGCCTAAAGAGAGAATGGCGGCCAGTATCAGCGAAATTATGACGTCAGAGAGGAAAGCTGGAAACTGAAACACAGAAAATTTAGTGGCGTCACAACAAATATTAAAAAGCTAAAGCTATCCCTGTAACAGGCCGTGGAGACCCATAAGGTTGTGAGATGTCGATGCTCTCACGTTTTCTAGATAATCGGCTCACAGATGGCGGTGAGTTTGTCAGGCTTACGCGCCGGCCAACCGCCCTTAACCACCAGGAATTTTTCTTGTGTCCATTCCTGCAAAAGTGAAGGCGTTCATTTGCTTATCCACTGAGCTAAATCCTGCTTGCTGTTTGTTTCTTCCTCATTGCTTTCTTAGCATCTTCTACTCTGAAGTTGGAGGCAGTACATTCCTTCGAAACGCCATTGAATTCCTACAGGACTACACAATATCATCCCAGAAAGCAGTGCTCCAGATATTCATCGCTATAAGAACCCCACACTAAATTCATATAAATTGTTGATGAGACTGAGAATCAGACCAATTTACTACCGTTAAAATTCACACTTGTCATTTGGGTTATGACATCGTGCAGACTGGTAGTTGGTTACCAACATTTTACAGCGATACACCGCCTTCTTCAGGTAAATGTGTTCCTCCCAATCTCAGTTATTCCTACCTGATGACTCAGATCTGACTCCGATGGCGCCTCACGAATCTTAAATCTCTCCTTGTGTCTCATCTTCAGTCTGCATCTTCAGTTTGTATTTTGCTTGTAGATGGAATTTGTTTCGTTCCTCTCTAACCTGAGCTTCCCGAACACGAGGGAAAGTCAGTAAATAGGTCACAAATGGAAGCAAAACTGCTATAATTCATGTAATATACTTTCTAGGTGTGTCACTAGGTAGCAGCATAGTCCAGCTTCATGAGAATCTAGGTAGCATACGCGCATGCGCATGTTCAGATAATGGTTTCGATAGTCAAAATGGCGACCGTGCTTGAGGGAATGCTACCGAAGAACAGTGCTCTGTTGTACATCTCTTGTGGGCAAAAGAACTCGCTTCCAAGGAAAGTCGTAAAGAAATGTTTCCTGCTAACGGTGGGATGTGTTTGTCAGTTAAAGCGGTTGCACATTAGTCGTAAATGTTTCGCTAATGACTAAGGGGTCGAAACAGAGGTGCGAAAGTGTCTGTGACAACAGCCAAAATTCTTCTATGCTGCGGGTTTCGACGCACTTGTAAAGCAATGGGACAAGTTTATCGGTTTTCATTTCATGCATGCTGCTGTGTTAAAATATATAACTTCTTTATTAAGACCGTCACAACACAACTATATCAAGGTCAGTGCCTGGTTTTGGCGCTGCTACATGTTTCGGCTATTAATAACCATCATCAGGCAAATACATGGCTAACATATATACACCATTGAACTGCAGTATTTATAAAATTGGATACAGTAATATTAATTATATTAA